CTCTGGAATCCACTTCCATGGATAACCCAGAGCTTGTGAAAATTGTTGCGCTTCTTAGTAACACTCATACATGTGATAGAGAAAAGTCCTGGGGGCGGCTGTGGTTCAGGAGGACTCTTCCCTTAAAACTACTGGGTTTTCACTTGCTAACTCACTTCCATCTAAATGAGACACATGCTGTATGAACTCCTATCACAAGCAGGTAGGATCCATAGAGCAACCCAAACCCAACCTCAGCACGAAGTTTGTTTGTGGCAAACAAACCAAAGCTCAATGGAAAGAATGACCTTTTTAAGTAATGGTCATGAAAACTGGCCACATCTAGTAACCTTCTCTTTGCCTGCAACAAGTTTTCCTCAGCAAAAAAACAATGTTTGAGGGAATCTAGGCAGCAGCAAAGAAACCTTCCAGACCTCTTCCAAACTCTTGAAGAAAAAAAAAAACAGCAACCCCTCCCCCCAAATATAAAAGCTCACTTGTTTTGCAAAATTATTTTAAAGTGATTTTTTAGTTTTAAATAAAACCCCTATTAACATGCACCTACATTTTGTGTTTTTCTGTAACTGTAAAGTTGTAAACCAGCACAATTATAATGCCAACTAGAGCACTGAATTGTTCACACAGTACTTCCAATTAAAATCTGGATGATAAAGAAGCTCCATGATCCAAGATGAGCTGTGAGGATTCACAGCTGCCATTTGGGAATCACTGGCCTACAAACCAAACTTGAGGAAAACACAAGAAGACCTGCAACTGGCTGATGTCAAATTCTGCATGCAAATTCCTTGAAAAATTGACACAGGCTGAAGAAAGACATAAATCACTCCAGAATATTTATTCTGCCTCTCTTTAGCATGTTTTTCCAAGTAATATAAAGTTACAGCTATGTTTTTCCTTTCCAGTGTTGCCATTGACTTCATTTTTTAGAGGTCACCATTCAAAAAAATCTGAAGGCAACTAAAAGATTACATCTGGATTCAGATAAGAAAATTATTCGCAGCTGGAAAATTTAATTACCAAAACTAACTGACTACTTGAAGATATTTTGCTTTCTTCTTTCTGCATATGTTTTATCATATTTAATTTGAGGATGAATTCTGGTTACTTGTCAGTATTCTGATCAGTAAGTCGAACAGCTTGAGTGTTGATATATTTTATGATACAATTTTACAAAAAAAAAAATAGGTTATATAGTAAGAAGATATATGGCATCTTTTTGTTCTTAACTGAAGTAAATATGAAAAGTAAGGCAAGGCAGCTGAACTCTAGGCCTGCATTAGCTAAAGTTTGCTCATTGAACCATTCCACTAAATTCTCCTGGTGGATAAAAAAGACGTGTTTTGTTTCCCAGAAACCTTATAGCAGAAATCCCCTTATCCCAGAAACCTTTCACAAAACAGAAGAAAAATCTGCTCTGGAAAAGGGATGTTTTTGCCAATATAACTCCATCTACACTAGGACAATTGTGTCTGTCAAGGTATGACAAAAACTTATTTATGCAGTAAATAGAGCTTTCAAGCAGCACAGATGAGCTTCCAAAAGAAACTTCCAAATAGGTCCATAGCCCTAATCTTTTCTTGACAGGCATGGTATACATTTCTAATGAAGAAAATTAAATCATTAAGAAATCATTAGAAAAAGTTCTGTAGAAGTATTATTAAGTGACAATATTCAAAAGCACAGCTGCAAATAACCCTTTAGTCATATCAGGGAATAGTTTCAAAGATTAATTCAGCTCCAGCGAGGAGCTCTCTATTAACTTAAAAAACCAAAAGCAATTGACTACAAAAATGGAAACAAGAGCACACATCTAAGCTAGGGATATTGATAGGGCAATACGAGGAGGTTCCATAAATACACCAGAAGGAAAAGAAAACACGCATGAAAGTGGAGAACAATGAATTAGCAATGAAGAAATGACAAAAGATGAAACCAACATAGCTGAATTCAATTTCTTCTTTGCTTATACTCCCCTACTCCAGAAGGGTTAAGCGTAAGTAGAGAGCAAGGAACAGGACCAGGAAAAGAATAGGCTATCATTTAATCCTCACTCATTTAGTAAGCCATAATATATTAAACAGTTTAAGAGAACATCAGAAATAATGCATGAGTGCACAACATAGATAGCAGCTGTAGCAAACATGAGCTAAAACCTCAGTTGTGCTGATTGGAAATATCAAAATTTCAGAGAAATTATAAAGTACAGATCAGTAAGAAATCAGCAAGGTCAGAAAACCAGCTTCCTTATCAATAGCTGACACAGACTGCCACAGCCTTGCACTTAAAATGAGAAAACTGTCCATTGAACAGATGGGCTCTTCTTACATAGGCTAAGGTTATTTACCTTATACAGCTCCAAAAAACATTATGTTGGCAGTGAGATGAAAAGGAAGGATTTTGGTCTGAGACATCATTACTCTCACACTGAGCTTGCATTCATGCTGAGCTTCTCATCTGTGTATCTGATCTCCTATTACAGCCTGCAGAGAGACCCTGTTCAATCCTGATCAAACAGGATCCCTGCCTGGACACAGGTGCCTACTGCCACTGGAGATGCCCTAGGGTTTCCCACCACTTCCAGATGCCGGCCTGGAAGTGTACAGACCCACAAAGGTCCTGTGGGATATCTGCCGTGCCATGCAAATATCCTGGCTCATCAAATGGCACATGCTGCCTTTCAAGTCTCTATCCTCTGTAAGTGGAAGACAAGTCCCTCACTCACATGTAGACACATAGAACACAGTACATTCAGGTGTCAGTCTGGAGTTCGGTACTGCCCTCTATCTGTGAACACTTGTTAGTGATCCTAGCATTTTTTGTATAAATATTTGTTCTACTTTTTCTTTTCAGTTGTTTTCTGTCTTATTATCCTTATTAACTATGGATTTCATATCACTTTCAGATACTATTTATTCATTAATTGTATTGCACTGTTTTCTGTTCACACACAGTCTTATGTATTTATAACTTTAGGCAAAATTCTGTTCCCATAGAACTTTGAGAGCACAATTTCTACAGGGAAGATTCCCTGAAGTCTTATTTCCTTATCATATGGAGTTATATGTATAATAATGATTAAATAAACTGGATACATTTGCATTAGGCCAGACTCAAACAATCCAGATCTGACATCTAGCTGACTTCCAAAGTCTCCTGGGTAACACAGTAAGGCCCAAGAGAAAGGGAAAAGGCAAACATAGTTGTCATCTACAAAAAAAAAGGAAAGCAAAGGACAGGGGTTACCAGGAAACCAGAATAACCTGAAAACATTCCAAGATAAATTATTCTATAAGTGCATAAGCACACAAAAGAGTTACTCAGTTTTTTGTGAACAAACGGCATATATAAAAACATTCTTTTCTGACATGATAAACAAGTCTGGAATATCAGAGGAATGCAACAAATACCTTGAAATTTATGTGGCCTTTGACTTTGTCCTATCTGATGTTCCTCAGAAATTCACTCATGGAAATATTGTTTAGACAAAATCTAAACCTGTTGAGATGGTTGCACAACTAGATTCATATGAACCTGAGCATCATTACAGGTGTCCCACAAAGTTTAGTGCTGAGTCCATTATTTTTCACTAATGATTTTAAAAAACCCAGATACAAAATGGATGAAAACTCTAAACCATACAGAAATCCACTGCCTGTTATAAGAATCAGCAGATTAAAAAACATAAGATTTTCCTCTTAAACCCCTCAATTTGGCTTTCTGAGCTAACCTCTGGAACACATCTCCTCACACTCGTAGTTCTTTCCCTGCTAGATGTGCTTGCCAGTACAGGATCTTGCATCTGAAGTCCAGCAGACCACCTACATGTCCTTAAACAACACGTAAGGTTTTATCAGCATAATTTCTGCCACTGAAGTTTATTTATAACAGGATATTTTGTCAGTCTTGTGGGCTGAGGAGGAAGGGAGGGGCAGGACTCATACTTGCATGTGATTTTGTGGTTGTTTACACACATAGCTCTAGCTGCAATGGGCATCCCAGCATCACCCTGAAGAAGTGGCCGTGACTGTGGTCAGGCAAAGAGCACAAATGGCTGTAAATTGCTTTCAGAAAGAGATAAACCAAGCCAGAGAGTCACCTAATTGAACGAAAATATCTATGTCTAATCAAGTATCTAAACTTGAGCTAACTGACATGTGCTCCCTTCATTGGCAATGGAAATGCTGTCAACTGAACCTCAGGAGGAATTCATCTCACCCTCATGCAAGACAAAATAGGCAAAATTGACTCAGATGAACTGAACTCCAGAACTGGATGCTTTCTTTTCTATTGTGAAAAGAGCCTAGGATAAAACTCTTTGGTTTAGATGTGTAAAAACTTAGTGAAATCCCATCCTACACGTGTAATGACAAAATTAGTGAAGAATGCAGAAACGAAAATGGAAAGGAAAAGCTAACAATATTTGAAAAGGAATCAGGAACTTAATAATATTTACTAATAAAATAGTAAGATAAAAAGTTATCAGCTAGAACTCAGCAGAAATATCCTTTACCTGATAATGTTGATTTGATAAAAAATATTTACATTTGCAGAGTTTGTTAGTTCTGGCAAGGTCTACAAAATTAAAATAAACCTCCTCAAGCTTGGAGGAAAATTATATGATAAAACAAAAATTGAGAAGTTAATTGAAATTTCCATAGTCCTCTATGTCTATTTTTAATCATTAGAATTTAGATTATTACAAGAAAATGAAAGGACAAAATACATGATCATACTGAAGTATAGTTATTGAGTTGTTTCACATTCTATAGTAAATACTTCACAGAATACTTCAATGTAATTTTTAGCTGCAAATGGGGATAACTGAGTTCCATAAAGTTATGAAAAAATATTAATGAGTAACTTATGAAACTGATATCAAACTGCAGAATAATAGATGTAACTGGCTCTGGGTGCTATTTAGAGCCAAAGAAGGCTGGGGGTTTTGTAGGATTTGATAAATACACACAAGTTTTTCAAACTGCACACTTTCTCAAACTTACCACTGGTGACTCTCAGCACTCCTGTCATCCAGCTGAACAGCCTTTTCAGCTTTAATCTTTCCTGTAAATGGAGTACAATATATTAAAGGATTTATTGTACTCTTCCACATTTTAGCTGACTCCCAAGAACAAACCAACCCAATATACTCTAGCAGTAAAGAAGAAATTGCTTCCTGTTCTTAGAAACATTTAGATGGACAATGTAACATGTTGGCTTTACATCATTTACATTTCCATACATATAGATATGCACATATACACATGCATACATCTATATTTTATTTTGGTTTTAGTTTCTATTTAAATCCAATTCAGATGCAGTTAAATCAGGGAAGGATTGGATTGGATTGCCAGAGGAGACCGTGTTGTCTGTAAGACTGAAGACCCGTAACATCAGGTTGGAGAAGCACCTGTTAGAAGAACCAGCAAAGCTGTTTTCTGACTTGGGTACACAAATAAACTAGCTGAAGTTCCTTTATAGCACAAAGACTTCCCTTAAGTTTCACTTAACCGACTAAATGTTCCACTAACTGAATAAAGATGACAGTAGGTGATTTGATCAAACCCATGCTCTCAGTAGGAAGTTCAGATGAGATGCTTGCTGCTTGCAGAGTCTCAGCTGCAAGCAATTAAGCCACACCGACATTTCTGTATTGCAAGTTAACTTCACAAAAACAAAGAATAGCATACACAGCACTCCAACCCAGTGGAATGAAAAATAACCACGAAAATACTGCCAGCTCCCCCACAGCCTCAATCCCCCTGCACCACTTCCAAAAACTGAGATGACAAAAGCTACCACCACCCCCACTCCACAGGAATGAGCCAAACTAGGTTGGTTACTCAACACCTAAGACCCACTTTCACTCCATCATTCTTTCCCTCTCTGTCTTTTGCTACGCCATTATCTTCCATCAACTGAGGCTACAGGTAGTCACTGGTAAAAGAAAAGGCTCCAACAACAGAATTTACTGTTGTAATTTACTTTGTGTCAGAATCCTCACTGCACTGTGAGATTTCTGAACAAAAAACCAAGTTCCTACTAAAGCAAAGACAGTATCAATTAAGTAGCTAAGGCAACACAAGTCTTCCTGAGTAGATGACAAAAAGATAGGAATAAGGAAGGACAAACTGAGATTGGCTGTGGAGTATGTGATGACAGCACAAAGACATGACACTGTCTTTAAGAATGACAAAGGGCATCCAGACTTCTCTGTCTGTGATGTTGTCAATGCTGACAGAATAAAAAGTCGAAAAAAAGCATCACAAAAGACAAAATAACCCAAACGTGGAATACACTTAAAACCTGATTTGGTGCAGCAAAAAAGAGAGAGGCAATCAAGAAACAGAAGAGAGAGAGAAGTACTTCCAGGCAAAAAGAATTATTTTAAGAACAGTGCGTTGACTGGAGGAGACTGACACAGGTAGAGAAGATGCAGGTTTTAATGTAATAAAACGAAGGCAGTCCAAAACAAAAAAGGGAAACATAAACTGTACCTCCAGCCAATATGCATCCAGACAGCAAAGGAAGGGGAAACGCTTTTTAAAGCAATAAAGAAAAAGTGCTCTGAGGAAAAAATGCAAACCTCTTTGGAGATTAAGTTGTCAAATAGGATACACAGGGAGAGATGTCTGGAAGCAACACACTTGTTTTTGGTCAACAGTTCCTCCAGATTCACAAAGTTTATTTCCCACCCTCACCACAATATATGAAGGAGTGCTCCTTGCCACAGGAAAGCAGAAAAACAAACCTTGACCCATCTCAGCATTTATTTATTCCTTGTGCTCTCCCAAAAGTGTAATTAAGAAACTGCTGACAGTATCTGGGGTTTTTACGTTCTGTATCCACCTGATTCTCAACAAAATACAGGATTTCGAGGCACTATCCAGAGTCAACAGCCTTTGATTATGACACATAATACTTCTCCTTCACCAATTTTGGATCTCTCAGTAAGGAAGAAACAAACTGAAGTTGTATACTGTGGCAGTTTATTGCACAAAGCATTATTATAGTACAAATGCTCCCATTTATTGGATTGCAAATTCATTCCATTGGAAAACTCAGCCAAAGTTTAAAGCATATTTCACTACATTCAGATAGCATTCTACATAAACATTTTTCCTCTGCTTACCATCAATAACATATTTCCTCTTCTCTTCATCATCAGTAGTCATCTCAAACAGATCTCCATAAGCACGTGCAAGTCTCCACAGGAAGTCCACACAGTTTTCATACTGAAAGTAGACCACAGCTGCATAATTAAACTGATCAGAATATGACTTAAACAGTTTACTTTCATAATGCTTAAAGCAAGTTTTCAGAACGTGACATCATTTTTTGTTTATTTTGCGACCATCTACATACTATTTTTAGTTTATGTGAGAACCAATTGACCGATTTTCCATTAACAGAAGAGAAAATAGAATTTGGAAACACCCTAGGCTGTCTAAAGAAGTCTTATTTTATGAATCAGTTTAATATGAAAACTTAAAAATATAAATATAAAAACTTAATATAGTATAAATTATTATAAATATTATTTTAAATTTTTTAATATAAAAACTTAAAAGGTAATCCAGTAAAGCACAACAGATCCCTGAATGAAGTGATGTGTGTGTTTTCTTTAGGGAGGCCATAAGCACTACACCCACTCACAATTAATCTCTTATCTACCCTTCTGGGTATTCCAATATGTAAATGAAAATATAATCAGAGCTAATGTTTGCCAAACCAGAAGAAAATGGTACGCTGAATAACGCATCACACAACAAACCGCTCTTAAATTTTATCCGGAGTTACATATGTGCACAGTAAAGTCAAAGGGAAAATTCACATGAAGGATATCAGAGATAAGCAGACTAGATGTTCATAGTTATAATTTCTTGAGAACACTGTATCTGCTTACTACTTAATTCCACAGGATTTTCTCACATAGACTATTCCAAAACCAGTAAAAATAAATATCATTTACACAGAAAAAAGCCCATCATCTTTCTTTGTTGCATGCAAGAATATCTGCATCAAACAAAGCCTCAAAGTTATTGAGCCTGAATGGGATATGATATAGTAGAACTTTTATGCCCACACAATATGAATATTGACACCATCTTGAAACACTGTTTTTTCACTGCACTTCAAAAATATGCTTGAAATGTCATCTTCCATCTTTATGTGCATTTAAAGCTCATATTAAGTTCTTAAAAGCAGTGCAGAGCATAAGTTAATAGCAACACAATGTGAAGTTAACCCGTAATACCTCATTATCTTTCTCAAGCAGCAGTCTGAAGGCCTCCTTTTTATCATCGTCTGAACCCTTGTGCAAATTGTCCACCTGCTGTAAAAAATTAAATAACTCTTCTTCTTCTTCTGATTTCACCATGGCATCGGGTGGTTTCATACATCTCTTTTCTTCCTCAGAGTCTCCTTCAGAATCAGTATGAGCTGTAAGATAACTAAAAATCACAGAAAATAATAACTATTTTTATATAAAAATACTGGCAAAGCATTCTTAAATTCAGAAGCAAAAATTTCAGAGCACAATTTATCCCAGTTGTCCAACCTTAAAGGAGTTTTTTATTCAGGGTATCAAGCTTATTGTTATTATTACAAAAGCTTTATCTTCAAAGGGACAGTACAATCATACTCCCAACATAACAGACAAGCAATTACACTGTTCTGCTGCTTAATACTCCGTTAAAAAAAACATGCAGATATATCTTAGAAACACACGTAGCCTTGTGTTTCAAACACAGAACACTTCAATCATCCATGTGTTTTAAGACATGCTCTCTAACCCTGAATAGGCCTCTTCAACTCTTCAATTTTCCTATTTTTTGAAATAGGAATGAGCTTACTAACCAAAATATAAGTGCTGTAAGAATCATTTATACAATATTTTGTCAAACACTTTCAAGAGCTAAATATAAGCCAACATAAATAACACCTTTGCTATCAATTCGTTATTTCTTTTGAGCATTATGAAGTTCAGAATATCTCAAACTGGGAAAGAGCTTATATTAATTAATTATGCCTTGTGCACAAGTACTCAGCACAAGGCAGGCAAGGACAAAGAAATACTTACAAAAGCATAAATACCATGCAGAGATAAGCAGGTGGCCTTAATGTCAAAAGCGCTGAGCATACATTAGAGTATTCCAATTTCACAGAGGAGCAGCTGACAGCATTGTTTCTAAAAGGTAGCTTTCTGCTCATGTATGTACTAAAAATGGAAAGAAAAGCCTCATCTTCCCCATTTCCACTTTTGAAAATACTGTTCTGGGGAGAAATAATAATGTAAAGGTATCAGGTTCAGAGACTTTTTTAAGTGGTTACTGGGAGCACAGAAAGCGTGGAATGTACTACACACATTAAGTAACTGAATAATCAAAGTAGGCCATGGCAGTCAAAATATATAAAATCTGTGGGTTTTTTTCAGAAATAGAACCACTGCAAAATGTTACTGGTATAAGTGAAGGTTATTAATCGTGGCTTTTAAATATTCTTTTTTCATTGTGTTGCTTCCAGAAGTGCCCATAACTAAAACAAGAGTAGATATATTTATAGCCTTCAAATGAAAAAGTACAATGGTTTATCAAGGTACAGAAGTGCTAGATGTGGCATGACAGTTTTGCTGCAAAATTAACCCAGTAATATGGGAAAGAGCAGTCAAAAATACTTTTAGATAAAATAATACATACATAAACCACACGTGCCTGTTCAAACTGAAAAACATAATACAGAAGAGCAGAGATGGGAAACATCATGATTTCCTACAGATTTGTTTTACATAACCTTGATGGTGCGGAAGTTGATGACACATCCTATGCTGTATCCTGCAGAGACTATATTCAGTCACTGAACACTTCTTTTCATTTTCAGAAGCATCTTGTTCTTCCACAGTTCTTTTGAAGTGGTTGCAGAGCTACATCACGTACAGGCTGAATTTGGAAGAGCCCTAACTTTATCAGAAGTGCAAAGCATTTCTTTGGGAGTGGGGCCTTTTAGCTCCAGTGCATAATTCTATGACGCAAAGTAGGTTTGGAAAGTATCTTTCCTCCCATGGTTTGGATGCCCCAATCCCTCTAATTAAAAGATAAATTTACACTGAGGATTTGTACAATTACCAACCTAAATTAGGGGCACTAGGCAATATAAAAGAGCAACAGCTAAGCAGTCAAGGCAATTTCCTTCCTTACAGAAATCTGACCACTGCATCAAATGCTACCTAATCAGGTCGATTTGAAAGTACAGAATCAGTGTTTGGGAGTCAATGTTGATGTTGTCTTCTTTATCTTTGCTGTGTAAACATCTGCTAAAATTCACTATCCTTCCAAGGTTAGATAATAGACAAAAGTGATTATTACAAAACATTACTCTCCCAGCAAAAATATAAAGGTCAAGGTTGGGCTGACAGCCAAGCCCACTGGGCTGTCAGTCCAAACAAGCCCAGCAGAGATTTCTAGCAGCACTGTATCGAACTGTCATGACCAACCATCAAATTGAGGCCAAACATCAAATTTATATGACATTAGATAACTCATATGAGAGTACTTACTGGGAGACTCAAATAGAAAAAGTGTGAAGTAGGTCACTATCTAACAGATGATGCGAACCCCTAAGGAGCTAATTATAAAATATCAAGGAAGAATAATCTTTTAAGATCAGACCACACTGCATCAAGCCTTTCCTAAACCCATCTCTCCTACAGAAATCTGATCTCCAGGTCACATTTGTGCTGAGAAATAGCAGAGAGCGCAGGTAATTTCTTCTCCAGTCTCTCTTATCTCCACGGTCCTGGGAAATTCTCTCCTACCTCCTCTATTTATCTGCTTTATGAATCCTCAGAGAATTTAAATATGGAGCAGACCATCTTAAACCTTGAAGAGCATTCCATAAATTTCAATTTATTTGTTGTTTGATAACCGACTTTAACAAAGCAGCTAACAGTCTCACACATCTACTCATTCTAAAGCACTAAAAATGACTGCTAACACAAAGAGAAGTGGAGATTCTTCTTAACACAGTTTAAAAATTCCAGGAGTCTATGGACTAATGACACTAATCCAAAAAGGAAATAAACACAAAACAAAGAAGAGTCATTATGGTTTGTTTTACAAATATTCCATATAACAGAAATCTGCAATTTTACTTGGTATTTTCCTGCAAGAGGTTTGATCAGATGATAAACAGAAAAGTGAGTATTTACATATGATAAACACATTGACCAGTATTTGAGAAACAGGAAGAACTTCTAAAAAATGTCTAGAGTCAGCGCCAACTTGTTTTCACCTTTATTACCAATAGATTTTGAACAAAAGAGAAAAACTGTGATAAGAGTGTGAGGAGCAACAATCAACCAACAGGACTCAGCTGTATCATAATGAACTGTTCAAAGTTCAAAGAACAAACGGAAATTGTGCTGGAGACTCACCCCACTATGGTTAAGCAGTTCAGTAAATCCCAGCACCTAGTACCTGATTAAAAAAAGCAACACTGAGCTACACAGCGTAAAACACCACTGTGGTGTAAATGCATTTTGGTGGTTCAGAAACTGAGTTGGATTGCCTGTAAATTGGCAGACACTGGGCCTAACCAGGTATCATCTGTTCACAACACTTCAGCTTTTAGACAGATCAAATATCATCTGTTGTCTCCCTGCCAACTTAGAAAAATCAGAAGCTGACACAAACACCGCCTCATCTGCTCGAGCCAATTCAAAAGAAAGGAGATTATATGTCACAGACTGATCTGGATCAGATTTGCACTGTATGATCCAGCAAAGTGCATATCCACCAAAAATGGTAAGCTGCCTTTGAGGACCAGTTTGGCAAACTGGATTCTTAGGCCAATTGAAGGTTGCATTTAAAAGAAATGAGTAGCAAAATAAATTAAAAAATGCTAAGTGAAGTGATACTCAGAAGGAGGCAAGGGAAATGTTTCTTCCTGTTGAATAGTTAAACTATTTCAAGAAAAAATTATAAATACAACATCTGTCAGAAAAGAATTTACTGTGGTGAATCTTTGTGGCGATTGATGGCAACTGCAATTTGAAAAGCTGGGACACCAGGCCAGCTGAAGCTGGAGCCAAACATGGCACTGATGTCAAGGGCTCATCACTGCCATGTCAGGGAGGAAACAGCTTTCCAATCACAAAGAGGAGAATTCAGTGTCACTCTGTCCCAGGTGATCATCTAGACACAATTTATTGTATTTGTAAATGATTGAGTGCTTGTTACCCATCCTCAGTTGTTAGAAGTTCACTAGTAAATGATGGAAACTGAAACAAACCAGTAAGAACAGAATACAGAAAAAAGTTATTAAAAAGCATATGATATTTTTCCACTTACACAAAAAATGTAATGTTGAGAGGCAAAACAGAATGATTCTCTTCCCAAGGTGTTAAATACCAACAGTGACACTGAGAATATGACCACAGCAGATCAAAACAGTGACAGTGATATCAGATACTGGCACCTTCAAATATTTCATGAAAAAATGAGGAAGCATTAAAAGCTTTTCCAGAAGTTTACCAACCTGAAACCAGTATAGTCATCCAGCACAAATCCATAAAACTCTTCAGATTACTTTATCTGTCAATTGCCAGCATCTGCACATTTGTCAGTTAATATCAGAAGTGCATAAACAAGCAAAATGCTATCTTCTATATCATGAAAATACTGCTGAGGCAGTGAAACACGTTGCATGCACTTTAGATGGAGTACACAAAGTGAAAAAATGTTTTATCAGTAACAAAGAGCAAAATCATTTCTCTAGTACACAATCTAGCAACTGAATGCATTGATGTGTATGGAATTCACGTCAGAACAGTATAAAACGATGCACATGGTGTTGTACCTACAGCACATGAAGTGGTGATGTACATTAACTGGAAAGAGAACATGTTACTATTGATTCTCCTGGTAAACTTCACAGAACATGCATCACAGTCATTAAAGTTACAGAAGATCTCAGAAAAAGCTATATACGTTGCAACTGTATACACATTAGGATTAACAACCTATTTGCAAGAGGAAGAAAAAATACAAATACTTAATACAAATACAAATAAATTAAATATATCTTAAAACTTAGAGAAGATACGCAAAACAAGAACATCAAGGACAAGGTGTTAGTTGGAAAAAAACGTCTCTTTTCAAAAGGGATTGAAAAACAGCATTGGAAAAGCATATCCCCAAATGAGTAATACTAACTATAACCTTGAACTATCTTCCTTCCTTCTGACTGTACACAAATACTTGTCAGAGAAGGACACATTCAACACTCTTGCACACTATAATCACTTCCACTGGATCATCACATCAGTTTCTGCGTCACACAGAGGAACCTGAACACACAAGTTTCCTTGGTTTGTTCTCAAAGAGCAACACATCTCTCCTGACCAAAAACCAGGATTTTCTGAAATGCTAGGTGGGGAATAACCTCTGTATCACATCAATGGATTATTCATAAAATGGTCCCTTAGCCTTATCTACATCTCCAAACATTTTAGGCATAGCATAAAGGCCTATGCAAACCAATCAATGGATAAAATAATCTGAGAAACTAATAGAACCAAAATTTTTCTACACCAGATGAAGGAGGAATATCTTTGAATACTTCTGCCAATGCTGAATACTTAAAATAAAGAGCTAGTTCATAATAGAACTGACAAGTCTTAAAATATGGTACCAAATATAAGACTTGTGAAGCATGTGGGCTGGGCATAACAGGAAATTCTGTTCACAGGAACAGAAAATTAATGTGGAGAAACTCTTAAAACCAGAATTCCATTTAATTATCATATGCAGCATGTTACTGGCTTCAGAATATTACAGTTAATTAATGTATCTTTAAAAAAAAAGGTGACATAAGTAGGCAATTTGCAGACATAATGCTGCCTACACAGATATGTAAGGCACTGTGAGGAAACAGTTCAAAAAACTCAGTGGCTATAAACATACACTTACTAAATTGCACAGAAGCATCTAATCTGATTATACCAAAACAAAGTCATAATTAGAGGAAAGCAATGTCATCACCATTTTTACATTACTACTGGAGGGTATATTAGGTAACATTTAAAAAGACAAAAATATATCTCTCCCCTGGACTTCAGGTGCATCTGATCCTTCAGTACATTCCTCAACTCACAAATATAAAAGATCCCATTAACCATAATGGGACTACAAGATGGGGCCAAAACTAGGAACTTTCTACCTTACTGAGTCAGTACCCTAAATCACTCGTGATTACTTTCTGAGCCACGAGAAAGGGTATACAATCACAAATATACATAAACATTGCCACTTGTATGTGTGTTGCACTGGGATGTTGCCTTCGTAGTAAGCCCATACCTCTAGGCAAAACACTGCAATAACTCATCTGCGAGGCCCATAGAAAACAATTATCATGACAAGCACAAGAGCATTCACACAGTTTGAACTAACTCTACCAAGACAAAAGAGTACTTTCTTACTAGAGGCACTTTCAGAATTACACCATTATTCTGAACTTTGCCTCTCATTGCATAGCTATGTAGCAATACTGCATCAGATCATTACCAAACGTACTCCTAAAAAAAAAAATCTGTATTATGCTTGGCATTAAGCCAATTTCATAGTGCAGATTCAGAGAGGGTCACCAAGAGTCTTCTCTGATCCAAAAACTGCTAACCTGAATTTCTGTAATTTTTTTTCAATGGAATATAGAGAAGTGTAAAATCTACATAAAACTTTAAAAGGGCTCCTGTTTACAATTTCGCATAGGTAATGATGCAATTTGCACTGCATGTGTACTGTTGTATATACAAATTACTATTAACTCACCCTCCTTCACTGTCCGCCTCCTCAGAGCTGGTAGTTTCTCTTGCACCAGAAGCTGTCTCAGCTTTTCTCCGCCTTGTTGCTCTGTGTGACGGGCTAACTCTCTGAATATCACCTTTCCCTTGAAGCTCATTTCGAACAAGCTCTTCAAGCTTTGGAATAGCTTCTTTCAGAAATTCCACCTCTCTCTTCAGTTCGTCCACACTTAGTAGCAGGCCGTTCAGTTTTTCTAGTATCTGCAGTTGCCTCCCATGTAAAACCACCACAGCTCCTTGCTCATTAGGAGCCTCATTTGGCAAGCCCACAGAATTCAGACTGTTACCTATATCCTGGAACGCACGTACACGCAGAGCTGCCCCACGTTTTCGGATCTTGTGGTACCAAACCAGCACGAGGCTCAATCCAGCAGTCCCTGCCATAACACCCAGTATGAGTCCTTTATTTTCGAAGGGAGGCATTTCTGCACGCTCCTAAAATTACGAGACAACAATAACAGAGTTTAAGACGTTTTCCCTTACTCTGCCCAAACGACTCGCTTTGCTTTGGCGTCCCATTCGCGTAAGGCTGGAGCAGCTGGCGCCTGCCGCAGGCACAAAGTTACACCACAACTCTCGCAGGTTCTGCAACGCAAGGCTCTGTGTGTGCACCAGACAGCAAAACCAGGACGGAGGTGGGTTTGGGGTGTGAGCGGCGCGCAGGACCGCAGCCTTCCCTTCCAACCATCCCGGGCATCCCGGGATTTGCTTGTTTTAATGCGAGAAACTCACATAATCGGATTTTCCGCCACTGCAGAGGCGGAAACACAGCTGTCAGGCCGGAGCGCCGCCCCACTTCCCCCCGGCCCCACCGCGCCGACGGGCTGCCAGAGCCCCGCGGTCGCCGCCCCGCAGCCCACCCCGGCTCCGGCCCCGACCCCAGCCCCGGCCCCGGCAGCGCCGGCCCGAGCGCGGCCCGGCCCCGGTACGTACGTACGGCCGGAACGGAGCGGAGCGGAGCGGTCCGGGAGCGGCGGCGCGTCGTGCCCGGGCGGCCCCGCAGCAATCCCGCCGCGGCACAAGGGGCGGCGGCGGGGCCGCCCCGGGGCGGCGATACCCGGATCGAGGGGGACGGACCTCGGCCGCTCTGCCGGCCGGGCCGCCCGGGAGACGGGCCTGCCCTGTGGAGGAGGGATTCCCGCAGCGCTGGGAATCCCGCCGGGCCTTGCTGCTGGGGGAAGCCCGGCTGCACCTGACACACACGTGGCTCGACTACGCCGTTCTAGGGCAAATGTATCTGTTCATGAGTCTGTTCTCAGTTTGTTGGCTGCTCGATTTCCCTAATTTAACCTTTTGCTACTTCTAAGCTCCAGAGAAACCGTATTTCCACTCCATTAGTGGAGAACCTGAAGCTTCAAAATCACAGCGAAACCCCGCCCAGTTGCCAGGAAGAGGGGCAGTCCCGGCAAAAAGCTTCGCTGCAGTTTTAGCCGTCTAAAGGCGCAAGGCTGATTTCACCGAAGCCCATTATAAAATGCTCAAAGTCAGGGAGGGACCCGTAGAATAGTTGGGGTTTGAAGAAGACCATAAAGATCATCCAGTTTCAATCCCCCTGCCGTGGACAGGGACACCTTCAAGTAGACCAGGCTGCTCAGAGCCCCATCCCACTTGGCCCTGAATGCTTCTAGGATGGAGTATCCCCAACTTTCCAGTGCCTCACCACCCTCACAGTAAAGAATTTCTTCCTAGTACCTTATCAAAACCTACTCCCTTTCAATTTGAACCCATTTGTTGTTGTCCTGTCACTACATGCTCTTTTAAATAGCCTTGCCCCATCTTTCCTGTAAGTTCCCTTCAGGTACTGGAAGGCCACAATTAGGTTACCCCAAAGTCTTCTCTTTTCCAGGCTGAATAATCCCAATTCTCTCATAGGAGAGAATTTCCTCATAGGAGAGGTGCTTCATCCCTCTGATCAACTTAATGGCCCTCCTCTGGACTCCCTGCAACAGGTCAATGTCCCTTATGTGCTGGGGACCCCACAGCTGGATGCAGCACTCCAGATGGGGTCTCAACAGAACAGAGTAGAGGGACAGAACTTGGATTAACAGTGTGTGGGAGGCATTGCTCCTGTGTCCCATCAGAGATCACTGTTATCGGTGATGCTCACAAGACCCTTCTTTGTCCTTTATGGCAGTATTTCTTTCTGGATCTGCCTCCCATTTCTGTCCTTGAATGGAAGAAGGATCATCACAGACAACATGCTGTGACTGTTTGTCTTCCTGAGGGGAAGAGGGTGCCAATACATAACATCCCTCCAAGATTTACAAGCATAAAACTCATATTCTTGTGTGTGAGGGCTTAAGGAAACCATTGTGGAAGCCACTGTATCTGTGCAATGAAAGAAGTTGCTCTTCAACAGCTGGAATTATCCTCAGCCGTATCAATCAGAAATCAAAAACATTATGTAGTTCTTAAAAAACATACTAACAACCTTTAAAAAGTAAATGAAGTGCTGTTAAAAACAAAAAGACTACCTAAATGAGGTACCAAGAACTCGAGAATTTTCAGTCTTACTGCAAATTACCAATTGTAAATCAATCTAATGTCTACTTATCTTCAAACAAAGATTTAGTTTAAAGTAACTGCAGCTCCTTATTAATTCTTCATTAATAACCTGAGGATGAAACTAGCCTTACATGAGACTAAACTACAATCTAAGAGAAAGGCAGAAATTTGTTAGAATGGAAAAATGAATATTCTTTAAGTATTCTACAGATTTCCTAGTTACAAAACAAAACCAACAACAGCAAAGTATCATTTGTTCATGTTTGTAATTTGAGACTTTTAAGCCAAGGATGAAAATATCTTCAATTTTATGGAAACTTCACTAAACTCAAATTATTTTAACAAATTTCACTGTAAGTCATGGTTTTCAGTTAGAGAATCCATCAGTGTTTTAAAATGGAACAAGATAACATGGATTTCCAAATGTTCAGGAATGGTAATTTAAATGTGTTGAATAACCTTTAAATTTTGTTTTCTTTTTTTTTCAATATAATCTGCTAAAATCTTTCTATAAGCCAATTAAAACAGGAAAGGATTTTAGAAAGAGAATTAATCAAAGGTCAAACACAACACAAAGCTGAAACAAAATACTATGGATGCAAAAACCTAAGTGAGTTTTTTCAGAGATTTTTCAAAATGACTGTCGCAGATTGCAGGCCTTAGACAAGGGGACCAGTTTTCAAAAATAATGGCCCAGGAGAACTGCCATCTACAACTGCTTGGTTATGTAGCAACTGTGAAAATCAGGTCCCCTGTCTGGTCCCAAAGTCCTTGTTTGCTTTTTACCTGTGGCCATTTTACCCAGGCAGAGCAGTGTGGAAGCACAAAGTTATTGCATGTATATAGTAACCTTCCAGAACACAACAGCTTTCCAACCTGAGGACCTAAACATGAATTTACCCAGATATGACACAATTCAATTGGCCTAAATATGACATAAGTTCTAAAAAACTGAAATGAACTTTTTAGAAAAGTACATGTGGATTTTTCCTAGTTAAGAAGAAACATTGTACCTGAAGGCCTAAAAAACATGCAGGTACAGACAACCACCTGTTATAAAATGGCCTGCCCCAAATAATTTTAATGTATTTTCAGCCTTACTTCCTAAGAAGACAAAGCTTATGCCCCCAGGTTGTCCGTGTGCTGTCCTTCTGTCAAGCAACACCATGACACTTTCCCACCCCCCCCATTAGCTCCTGAACCTGGAATTAATTTCAGCCAATTTTGACAGAATAGAACTGTCAAGTTTATAGAATCATAGAATGGTTTGGGTTGAGAGGCACCTTAACAAACATCTAGTTCTAACCCCCCTGCCATGGGCAGGGACACCCCTCACTAGGCCAGGTTGCTCAGGGCCCCTTCCAACCTGGCTTCAAACGCTTTCAGGGATGGGACATGCACACCATCTCTAGGCACCCTGTTCCAGTGCCTCACCACTCTCACAGTAAAGAATTTTTTCTTAACTAATCTAATCTAAATCTCTCGTCTTTTAATCTAAACCCATTTCCCCTTGTCCTGTCAGTATCTGCCTAAGTGAAAAGTCATTCTCCCTCTTTTTTATAGACCCTTTTAAGTATTGAAAGGCTGCTCCAAGTAATTTCAAGAAGGCCAGCAGCTCTGGGGTGGTAAGACCCTGTGAACATCCTGCCTCCTTCCATCCCTGGCCCCAGGCAGATGTACAGGCGTGACCTTAGCACACCAGTGCTGCAACACAGACACACCTGCATAGGGCACCAGCCTTCTTACAGCACTGGTTTTGTAAAACCAGGCCATGTTGTTTACTGGTCTTTTGGGAAATCTTGAACTTGGACAGTATTTTTGTGTCGTATTAGAAAAGTTAGCTTATTATTGAGCGATTGTGTTCAATGAATCAGAGAACCATTACATCCTAAGTAATTGATTCCTGCTGTTTTCAGACAAGGTGTAGCTTAATTTACTGGTGGTTTCTTTTCTGTATGAGAGGCATTCGTATTTTATAATTGACAAAATTCTTCAGCTGTAACTCTTCTGTACATTTATGGTATGCTGTTCTTTCTGAAATGCTCCTCCACCCCCGCCCCCAACTGGAGATTAATCTACTGCTTGTAACAAATACAGAAACCTTTAATGTATTAGTAACAGTTCATACTTATTACTTCAGCAGTTGTCTTGTAGGCATAAAGTCAAACATTGTTAATAAGTCACCAAACATTGTGAAAGCCTAAACACCTTTGACCAGACTTGCAACCAGCCTGCCAGAAAACCTACTGTTCTGTCAAGTTTTATTGAATTCTCTTGAGGTTTTTGCTATAGAAACAAAATCATATCTTACCTCAAAGGGAAGTGTTCACTATCAGACTTGTCTATATTCTCTGCTGCTTTTGCCCTGAACAATTTTCCAGTGCCCCTAATGAAAAATGAATCAATCAGTTGAAGTTAAAAGATGATAGGTAAAAGCACACTGACCTTTTCTGTTTTCTTGAAATAAAGATATACTACTTAGCACAGTTCCCAGGGAGATGAGACTGCTGCTGCCTTTAAGTCTCTGGGCAGAAAAATCTAAGTGTACTTCCACATCCTCTCCAATATTTTTGGATTTTTGGCCAATCTCAGTCAAATTCAACATGAGAACTTCTGACAAATTTCTTTGAGTTCTTTTAGAGGAGAAAGCCCTGAATTAGTGCCACCACTGTAGGAAAGGTTGCATATCCCTTGGTGCACAACTGAGAACCCACACAGGAGAAAAGCATTTTGCAAGGTCAGGAGCAGAGCTCACATTTCATTAGACGTGAGGGAATTGAACTACAAGATATAACCTGATAGGAAACCTGGCTTCATTAGTTGAACTGCACTAATAAATAAACCACCTATTTATTTATTTATTTTGTTGATAGGATCCAGCGCTGCAGTTTCAGCCAAGTACAAATGGTCAATGATGGCATTGCATTTCAAAAAAAAAAAAAAAAAAAAAAAAAGAAAAGAAAAAAGTACATGCTGTTACTGCTTCTTTGTGTCTTCAGGAAGCTCAAGGACATTATCAAACTATATTTATGCAAGCTGTGTTAGTTTTTTAGGCCAAGGTACATGATTCAGTTTCCTTGATGTAAGAGATGAGAGTTGGCAGCCCAAAAGAATTTGCATATGTTGTGTTGACAACAATAGAAATAAATAGTCGAGGCTACATCTGATGTAATTCCACAGTGCTGCCTGATTTCTTCAGAAAGAGAAATGGTCCTGGGAGTACCTGGATATACTCCAAAGAGGAAAAACACATGAATAGGTATAAAAACCAAAATAATGTGTGTGCATAAATGTATATTTTACAGTATATTTTTATGTTCCTTGGGAGTCAAAAGTCAAAAAGAGTCAAACTTTTCATAAATATATGCGTATGTACACACACATATTCCATGTCACCTGCTGCGTGTGAATGAGAAGTGTCTCTTTTTTTCAGATTCCCTATCAATATGCTACTTCAGAGCATATTGAAGTATTTTAAAGAGCTGTACTGTTTCCACCTGCAAATGGCAGTGTGCTCCTTCCTGAACTCCACAGATCAATCCCTCCAGTAAATATCAACTACTACATGGCCCTAGGGCGTC